TATTTTTAATTAAGTTCTTATTTATAACAACAGTTCTAAATTTAGCTGCCAAGAAAAAAAAATTAGAAATTATTTGGTCACTAGATTCCAGTGATGCTCAGAAATGGGAACTGGTTATGAACTGGGAAACTGTTTATAAACGAAATTTAAGCTTAAACATATAATTTAGTTTCAATAATAATAATAATAATTTCCTATCAACTACTTTACGGAACGTAGGTGCAGAGGGAGAACCTCAATTATTGTGGTAGGTCACACAATCTCAGCAGTCCTTGAACTCGAACATTTTAAAGCAATTTTTAATCATAAAAATACTTTAAGAACTTTGCTCTCGCCTGAATTAAAGTATTTCAATGGTCTAACATTTTGTGCTTCAAACCCACCAAGAAGACCGTCAAGCAGTCAACTTTATAACTAAGATTCTCTAAAAAAAATACAACAATTGCTTTCATGATAACTCAGTAATTTAATTTTTTTTATTTCTATTTTGTTTCATACGAGTATTCTTATATACCGAGATCTCTAGGAAATGTTTCAAATTCTAGATACTTTAGAATCCTTGTGAGCTATGGTGAGCAGCACATAGCATAAAATATACAAATCAAAATGTACACTAGAATTGGAGTAGTTTCAGTAAAAGCATACATACAGATATACTTAACAACATACATTTATACTTGATTGCACAAAGAAATGCATGACCACGTCATACATGTAAGTATGTTAGTACGTATGTACATATGTATATGTGTGCGTGTTAATTGTATGAAATTCTGCTTGAAGATGCCAGCACTTTATGTTGCTTTTACGAACAGTCATATGCACTTTCCATTAAAAACAGAAAATACTACTTTGATTTCAACACATTGATTCAAGTGCAGAAAGTGCTACACTGCTTATGAGTAATATTTACGAATGAAATCCTTTAAAAATTCATACATAACACATGAGAGTGCTTTGTGCTACAGAATTATGAAAAGCATAAAAACAGATAATCCCGAGAAATGCAGTCAACACAGAGCGCATTACGCTTAACACTCATACATTTATGCATACCATATATATATGTGTGCATGTTTGTTGTGCGTGTATGTCCATATGAGGATGTACATAAATAAAGCAATTTGTCACTTCGCACTTCATTGCCGAGCATTAAGACTGCAGCCAGAAGGCGACCGAGACTTAAACTAGCTGAGTTACTACAGTTTACTGTAAACGAAAATGGAGCAGAGCTACGTGTATGTATAAAAAAAATAAGAAATGTGACTGGACACATTTGGAGACAATTCGTAAGAGTTTTACTCGAAAGAAAGTTCATGAAAAAGTTTATTTGCACGCACACAAACAGACATATATACATATATAGGTGTCAGTGTGCATAAGCTCATGTGAGTATGAATACTTATGTATCTGTATGTATAAATGCGGCACGCATTTGTTGGTAAATTTTCATTTACGTGGTGCATGCTACACCAAAGAATTTTATTACACTCTTGATAATTTAAGCAATAACTCAAGCAGCTAATCACCACATAAATAATCTAAAGGGAAGATGCTGCCAACTGAAAGCAACGGGTGCTGTGCAAATACAACAAATACAAAAACAACAACAATAACACCAGCAATAATATGTGCAAACGTAGAGACCAGCTTATATATTCAAGTCTTAGAAGTGGAAGTATGTGTAGAAAGTACGACTATATGCCGTTATGTTGCATGAAGAGCATCTACAAATGCTTGAAAAGTATAAAGGCTCAAGCAGCAGCAATTATTTAACAACAACATGCTGCAAAATGACACCAACCAACCAACACAGCAATAAAATAGCATGCTGGTTGCAGCAGCCAAAGAATTATAACTGAAATATAAGTTGTGCTAAGAATTTGAGTGCACAATATTGCTGGCGCATTAGAATTTTCCAAGTTGGCAGACAGGCAAAAGTTCTGGCAGCGCTCAGTGCGGTGGCAACAGTTACAAATTGAGAGCATATGCACGTTGCGTATGAATCGCTTGATTTTGCACTAATTCATTATTGACAGCGGCAGTCAGCAAAGTGGGTACAAATTAATAATATTTTTATTTAAATAAAATTTTTTTTAATATAATTTTTTTATAAATATTGTTGTTTTATTCAAACATTTTGTGGAGAGCTATTGTTAATTGTAACATAATATGTATATATATATACATATATTATAATTATGTAAGAAAAGCTATATTTTAAAGCTTATTTTACTAAATTTTTCCACTTCTCTTAACACATGGGTTCATTTATTTAAATATTTAATTTGTAACTAAAGAGAGTTTTGAGCTCTAATATTCTTCCAAAGATACTAAAAATATTATTAAAAAAATAGTTTTATACATTTTTACTTAGTATTGTTATATTATTCACATAGATTACGTTATGGCTTGGTCGCATTATTTTCCAATGTTTTTAACATTTACAGATATATATAGATGTGTTCAAAATTTAGGATTTTTTTCGAAAAATCTGTTTAACCAATAGTAAGAAATTATTACCAAAGAAAAATATTTTAATTCCTCATGACACGCTATACGAATTATATTTTTAAATTTCAGATATTAGCACTAGAAGTAATGATTGATTTGAGAAAAGAGACACCAATATGCAGAAGTTACATTGATTAATATATATATTATTATTACATACAACTTAAAATATATTGACCTTCAAATATTAAATACTCATATATTGACTAAAATTAAGTGATTCTGAAACCACATAAATAACGGAGGTATGTCAGTCCTTCGTTATCTATAAGTAAGCGCGGATTGCAATATTTAGGGAACTCATAACTCAGTAAACCAGCGATATCGGTTTATGTAGGCAGGTTGAATATAGCGAGCCTTATATATTCTAACAGCGTAACTGTATTATTCTCAGGATATTACAATTAAATAGGCATTAGTCACTCAATCGAAATATTAACTGACTAAAGATTTCATGTAAATTATTCATAGAAATTAATTTCTTAAACCATAGGTACACATAAAATTTTTCAAAGCGGTATTTATCATAAATAAATTTTGCTCAGTATAAAACCATACGTAATTTTATTTCTGTGAGCTAGTAATGGGCTGGCTAAATGTATAAGGTATTAGCTATTCAATTTTTATGTGTACGAATTTAATATTAATATTTTAATAGGTCGCTTGGTCGCGGTATTTTTGAATAATGTGATAAGTAAATATTTTTTCTAGAAATCTCCAGAAACACACATAAAGATTATATATTTTTTTATTACAATATATTTTTGATAAAAGAGAAAACTGCATTTATTTCTTAATAAAAATACGTAATACTTAAAACTTTATTAATCCGTCTCTATTAAAATGGCCAAGTGTGTCTTTTTCAGCCCAATCAAGCAATGGTATTGTAGTAACAGGCAGTCAACGCGGCATATTAAAAGATCGAAGGAGTTGCCAAAATACGCAAGATGTAACGGAATGAGACCAAAATATATTTTTTGTAAAAATTCGCACAAACGTAGATATATGGTAAATGTATATAAATGCCTGTATGAGCAAAATTTGTCTTTTGAATAAAGGAATTACACGAAATGTCAATGAATTTCAGCGTACAAGAGCGTAAGGTAAACAAATGCTGTCATGCCGGCAATAGCGTTAGCTATATGTAGACGAAACTGTGCCAAGTAGTGAAATCTACATCACACCACTACACCCACTAGCTGCTGGCGCTTGCCTTAATCATCGCTTCTTGGGAATGTTGTGGAAGCTAAACTAAATAAACGTAAAAATGTGGCAAATCCCAACAAATCCGATAGCGAACGTTAAGCAAAACTAGGAAGTTTAACAGACAAGTTGACTGGCAGAGGCCAGCCGGAGACGCCTGGCAGTAGAGGGTGAAAAGTGAGTGCGAAATGACGCAACGAAATTACTTAGAGCTACTAAAACTAAAGCAAAAACAACAGTTCAAGGAAGACTGTGTGGTGTTAAAATAAAACGGCCGCCGTCTTAAGCACTCAAGCAAGTAGACGACGAGTGAGTCTATGAAGATGGTGGTTTTGGTTGCTCATACGCCATGGCGAACGCGCACAAAACACTGTGTTCCTGCTGCCGCTGCTGCTGCTGCTCAGTGGCATTGTCAGAAATGTAGGTTATATGGAAAAATATTAGCTTTAGCATGCTCGAGAGCAGCTAGAAGATGTTGGCTGGCTGAGTGAATGGATGGCTGCCTGCTTGGCTGATTCAAGCACCAAAATCGCAAACACATAACAAAAAAAAAAAATGTTGTAAAAATAGAAAGTAAAAATAAAAGTTGCTAGTTTATAAGCGCAAAGTGCTTCCAAGCTTGCCACAGCCGCCGCACGCTATTATACACACACATATGCTGCCACACACATATGTGTACTTGTGTATGGAGTGCACAAGCTTGTTTGGGTGTTTGCCTGCAAATAAGTGGCACACAGCTGTTAGGCTGGCGGCTAACGGTGGTTGTGGGTATGTATGTTTGTAGTTGTTGTAGTGCCCGCAGAAGCAGTGGAAGTTGTAGAAGAAACCGCAAACTCGACAGTTTTTGCCTTTAAGCAAAAATAACACTCACCAACACTTACACAGCAACACCGACATACTACCGACACACACACACACGTACGCGCGTGGCACGCAGGAAGAAAATGTAAACTGAGAAGTATGGAAATTGTTAGTGGTACTTTGAAGAAAATGCTGTACGAAATTCCAAGCAAAATATGTTTGTATGTATGGGTATTTATATAGTTGCATCAATGCAGCTAGCTGGCAAAATAACTGTGGAAAAAGTCTCCGATTCGTTTCTTAGCAGCATGTCTAGTGCATAGCAGGAGGTCAACAAGAAGTAAATTTTCTATGCAGTGGCAGTATGCAAAATAAAAGTAAAACTAGCTTAAAAGTTGGCATATACTGCCGCATTTTTATGTCAAGTCAATGCATGACATCTCGCACGTACAAAGTTTTTAGAAATAAAATATAATATTTACTTTTCCTGAAAGCAGCTGCTTTATGTTTCTGGCCGCTCAGCAACTTATTCCCAGTGGGTTCAAAATTCACTGCTCCGTTTTGAACTTTCACTTAATAACTTCGCTCAGAAAATATTTTGGTTAAACTGTAAACACCTCTGTTAGAGTGTAACGTGACTTTCAAAGCTTTTTCGCGATTTACGCAACACTCACTTTTCATTAAAAAGTAATTGTAAATTCCTTGCTATGAAAATATATAACACCAACAAAACTTTTGGTTGATCTATCCATTATTCAAAGCTAATTTCATTAATATCTTGAAATACCATTTAATACTTGTCATTTATTTCGTTGAGTTTTCTGCAAGCGCACAACGCGTACATGCAACGACAACACTTTCACTACACACACAAAAAAGCACAGCTTGCATGAAATCGTAGCATCGAAATTAAAAAAATTGCCGACCGTCAATTTCAACGTCCATCACGCATCTACTGCCAAATTCGGCAACGATTTCTCTAATATGCCTTCACATGCACGCCAAAGCAGCACGAACGAGCGCATTACGACGACTACAATGTTGACTATACGACGAGTAACGTTAAGGCGCTCGGCTAGCACCTAGTGAGGATACACAACCTGGCCGAAAAGCAATAACGCTCGCAGGCTCACACGAAATTACAGTAAGGCATAACTCGAAAGTATAACTCCATGGCGGTTGCCTCTTTGTGGCTGTACGATTTGTTGAGATTGGTTTGAAGTCTCAGAGCATCGTTTTTTATCGGTAACAAAAGTTGAACCCCGAATTTAATGGTTCTCACACATACACACACTTTGAATAGTTCGAAATATTCGAAATTCCACCTCGAATTGTTAAAAAAATTTCATAAAGCAATTTGCTGCTCTGAGACCTCGGATTAAACTGCGCTCCCTTTTCGAAAAACTTCTTCTCATTTCGAAATGAGCTTATACGAGTATGTGCTTTGGTTGAGCGCAAAACAAAATTGTTTTAAGCTGAAGAGTAAGTGAGCGTATAACAGTTTTAAATATGAGTGAATTTGTATTTGTTTTCGTCGCCATATATTCACCAAAATGATTTAGAAGTATTTACTTGCATCTGCATGGTTATAATATCTTTTATAAAAGTTTTAAATTTTGGAAAAATAAATAAAATTAAGTTCACTTTTTTAATAAATTTAAAATGATTCATATTTATATAATCGAAGCCATTATTTCTGCAATAAAATAAAAATACATTTGTAGTTGCTAACTAAAGTTGTTCATAAACATTGTTGTATGCAAAAGATAAAACCGTTCAGTAATATTTTGGTATCAACTTAACGGACAGCATGTTAAATTTTTTGAAGATTAATAACTTTTTAATTTAGAATTTGCACAATTTCGAAAGCATACACGTAAATATTACTAAATTTTTTTCGGGTGAAGGAATAGAAAATGCCTTCCGCATCATCACCGCTGTCGTCACAGCAGCGATATGTGCCGCTTGCAGGTCACTAAAAACCCCCCTCTAAGGACCCGTCGCCCACTTTGGGACCGCGTTTGCATTATCAGGGTGGCTTTGCATTTTTTTTATTGACAGATTTTTATCTGCACACCAGCGTCCAGGTCCCGCTTTTTGCTGGGTAGCAAAATTGCTGCGAATTTCTGGATGATCCCCCAGTTTGCTTCGTTCTCCAGCATGACGCTATTGCGTACATTCAAAGAATGTGTGTTCAGCGTCGTCTTCTGTCGCGTTGTTGTATGGGCATGACGGTTTTTCGACTTCTCTCTAAAAATTTTAGTTTGATATACTAACGAATAGTGCCTTTCTTGATGAGAAAAGTGTTTGTACAAAATTTCAGATCGATTTCTCAAAACCTGAATGATTAGTGCGCGTATACACATATAGACGGACAGAGAAGCGGACATGGCTAAATGGACTTAGTTTTTCATGCTAAGCATTTCATAAATAGCTCATCTTCTTTAGTCTAATTGTGTCAATCAGAAATCTAAACAAAATACCATTGAAAACAGGTGCTTGTAGATTTACAATGCTTTGAAAAGCCTACAGGAGCCTCGATAGAACATTTCAAGGCATACATGAGGTAAAAAAACTTATCTGTCAATTAAAAAATATGTATGGGAATTGCAGCAGACTAAACAAAAAAATATTTTTCCTATTGCAGCTTTTTTAATCCTTTCCACTTACATACATATATGTATACTCTAACCGCTATATTCTGCTTCAACTGCAAGTTCCAACACTTCCACATATATTTACATCTAATATATATATGAATGTATATTGCTTTCAATTTCGCTAAAGAATAACAACATCTGTGGCATTTTAAATAAACTCAACCTGTACTGTAACTAAGTAACTGTCATTCCGTACGCTGACAATACACAGCGCTTTCACTTACTTTTATTTTCGATTCATCGCTTTGCTTCATGCGCGAAATTTATTGTTCTAGAAATAGTTTATGCTTCCAGCTTTTGCCAGCGTTTCATGTCGCAGCAAGCGCTTGTCATTCCACATTCAATTTCAGTTGTTGTCATATTTTCATATTTACTACTTACATACAGGATGCACACAAACGAGTTTGTTCTTGTTGTTATTGGTGTGCGCGTTGTCGTTTGTCTTTCGGTTGCATTGTTTTCGCGTAATTTTTGCAAAACTGTGTAAGTTGACGAGACGGTTGGTTGGCGTTCGTTCGTCGTCATCGTCATCATTTATTCGCAAGACACAAGACGCTATGCATAATTTACAAGCACTTGGCAGAGGTGTTGCACCGCAAGAGCAACGGCGAAATTGCCATTCAAAGCCGGGTGGCATGAAAATGCCGGCGTAAACGCACTTATACCCGTTACATAAATACATACCCACATATTTATATACGAGGTGTGTTCAAGGGAAAAGATCAATTTTGAGTTTTTTTTAAAAGTACTTATTTATTCATCAATATCTATTTTTCCACTTCAAAGTAATCCTCCTCGGATACAATACACTTGTGCCAACGCTTTTTTCAATCCTCGAAGCACTTCTGAAATGCGCTTTTCGGTATGGCCATCAGCTCTTGCTTCGATTCTGACTTAATCTCATCAATTGTGGCAACACGCTTTCCTTCCATTGGTTTCTTTAGTTTTGGGAATAGGAAAAAGTCGCAAGGAGCCAAGGAACCCGTTTGAGCAAACCCGGATCTTTGCTGAGGCCGTTCAACAACTTCTGTGCGATGCTAATGCGACATTGCTTTTGCCCAAAATTTAGCAATTTCGGAGCAAACATCTCTGCCACACGTTTCATACCTAAAACATTCGAGAAAATTGAATGACATGAGCCCATTGATATGCCAACACCCTCTGCAACGATTTTCAAGAACAATTTTTGTCACGGTTTCGATGTTTTCTTCACTTATTAACGTGGATCCTCATCGTCATCAACATCTTCTAGGCCTTCTGTAAAGCGCACCACACATAAATGTTTCGTATGTACTTAGCCCGCGAAAAATTAATGTTCAACTGTTCCTTTGAACACACTTCGTAGGTACGTTTATGTATATAAATGTGTGCATACAATAGCTGTATCTACAGCATCGTAGCTGTGAACTTGCAATACCCCACTCATTTTGCAGCTTCCTCTTGCCTTTCTTTGCCAGGTTGTTGACATTTCGTGATAATTTTGCCTTTTCAGCGGCACGACAGCTATATGAGTGAGTTACCCAATTCTCATTTTTTCCCTGCGCCCATCTGCTGATATTGAAATTAAAGCTACTTTCCGAATTCAACAGCTGTTTGCTGCTTAAGTTACGTTCTTGTGACTTTGTGCGAGCAAAACTGTTATTTTGCTCTCTCTGCTCGTGCGCGTGGGTGTGCCACAGATGAGTTTAGAAAAATACTGGGAACAGTAAGGGTATATGTTGGAGTCAATCAGATGTATGGAAACATAAATATAAGATTTAGAAGATATAAGAGTTAAATCAGATCGAAATATTTATTTCAAAACCTACGCTGATGTAGAAAGTACTAAAGTGGTATTCTTTATGCTGCACTAGGACTATTCTATGCAGTCCTTTGAGAAACTAGAAAAATTAACTCTTTTAATCAGTATAAGTGGGAAAAGCGCGTTGAAGCAAATACAAACATTTCACCGGATGTCTGAAAGTGTTTAAGGCTGGATGTCGCAAGGGCGAGACGATCAAGAAGGAAGTGAGGAGATGTTTCTACCTCATTTTTTTTTGAAACACTGCTACAACTGAAATACGGTATGATTCTCACCCTTGCCGCGTGCACACCGAAGGGCAATCCTAGCCCAGCGCTGGCCAAACCACCGCCAACACAGTTCTCCGGTAATAGAATGCACGAAGAAAGCGAGTATCACTCGACCACCAGCCCATGCTTCTAACAAAATCCTAAAAAAAAACAATTCCTACTCATTGTCCAATTCGAAGGCTAAAGTCGAGCCCGAGGATTGAAGGGTTCAATTTGTAAGAAAATATGTGAATAAATTTTCTTCTATAAAATATGTTTTGGTTCAATCAAATTAGCTCATACATTCATCTTGCCTACATATGTTCAATATCGTATATACAAATATCCATTAACTAAGATATTTTTATGAATTTAATTCCGTGAATTTTCTTATATAGTATATAATGTGTCTTGTCACTTGTTGAATACTTGACCATGTGTTTATTCCATTTCAGCAGTACGCCTAAGTGTTGTTGGACAAATGAAGTTCGCTCACGTTTTTCAATAGCCCCTCAAGATTCAATGAATTTTTTGTAAATAATTTTTTCAGGGCACAGACTTGTCTATATTGTCATTAAACCCCCAGTGATTCTACGCACACTTGATCCACATCACGGCGCTATGGCTAAACGTAGTACTGTTTGAAAATTGAAAAATAGTGGTAAAAGGCACTTTAATGCATACATATATTACTAAAACAACAAAGCTAGTTAAACGAAAAAAAATTTTAATGCTAATTGTTTATGTGATAAATGGAGCTGGAGCTTTAATTTTTCAAAATAAATTTTAGTTTATATATATTATATAGTGTACATAAATAAAAGTCACTGCATACTAACCAATAATTGAATTGATAAAAAATGTTAGAAAAAAATATAAAATATAAATACGTTTAGTATGTATTATTACCTCTTTGGTTATTAAAGAAAATGTTAAAGTATTACAAGTAGAAGTCGCCAACTACAACGTTTCATTGCTACAAAATATCCAATCATAATTATACTTATACAGTATCATCCCCGAAATTTGTATAATACTCTCAAGCCTCAGAACCAAAACAAAAGTTAAGTAAAACAAATTAGCCTCAAGAGAAACACAAAACGAAATTCTAAATCATATTATCACGGTAGACAAAATTGTGAATGCTCATTAGCACGCGCCAAAGCGAATGAAAGGTAAAAGATATTAATTCAATACACCAGCTAATTTGCCTTAGCTGCGCGCATACCGACACAAGTCGTAAAGAAATATGGCAATATGCTGTTATGCAACGTTCTCAACCGTTCAAGAGACAGTCAAAGATTAACTAGCACCCATATGCTG